GAGACTCTGGATGGAAAATGCAAATGCACAAAATGAAAAAGGTGAAAAAGATTGCTCCCCCTCAAGTGATGCATGTGGATGGATGTTGAAAGTATCAACTAACTCCCCCTTAAAAAGATAAAACTTAAGAAAATTGGGGACAGAGGCTCTTGTCTATACAACCAGAGGCCCTGGATTTGAAAGATGAGAAAAAAAACTAAGTGGTAGTATAGAGAGGTATTTGAGAATAGAGGGGCGTTGGTGGCAAAGAAAAGAAAGCCAGAGGCTCTGGTCTTTAGAACCAGAGGCTCTGGTTGTGAATGCAATGAATGTGATGGAAGGGTTAGAAAGATTGCGAGTCAAGAGGCTCTGGTCTTTAGAACCAGAGACTCTGGTTGTGAATGCAATGAATGTAAATAAGGAAGGAAATGGTGAAGGCTATGTGGAGTGTGATAAAAGGAAACTCTTTGAAACCAGAGTGGCGCTGGTTGCAAAGAGTCTAAAGCCAGAGGCTCTGGTCTTTAGAACCAGAGGCTCTGGTTGGAAGAAAAGAGATTTTGTGTTGGAAACCAGAGGCTCTGGTCTTTGGAACCAGAGGCTCTGGTGAGTTATAAGCTTTGGACCAAAGGGTGAAAGAATGAATGAGATTTAGATGCATGAGAGTCCAAGGTTTGAGATTGGGACGTCTCAAAGTTTTGGAGACCAGAGGTTCTGGTCTATATAACTAGAGGCTCTGGTTTGAAGAAAAAGACTTGGTTAAAAAAAATACCAAGTATTTGCTTTGGACCAGAGGGGCTCTGGTTCCAAAGATAATATTTGCCATATTTTAATCGAAGTTATTCTAAACAGCCAGAGGCGCTGGTCTTTATGACCAGATGCTCTAGTTTAGGATACTTGGAGTTTTATGGCTAAGATGTTATATCACTTATAGGCATAACCATGAGATATTGAAGATCGCTGGTTTGAAGATAATTATTGCCTCTAAGTGGTGAGATTCAACATACCCATCTTGCTGACTAGGACTAAAAATCGTTTCTCATCAAAAGCTTTTGTAAAAATGTCAGCAAGTTGAATCTCAGTGGGAACAAAATACATTTCTATGTTACCTTTTTCAACATTATCTTTTAGAAAATGGTACCTTACATCGATGTGCTTGGTCTTGGAATGATGTACTGGGTTTGCAGAGATTGCTATGGCACTCTTGGTGTCACAGAGGATTGGGACTTTGTCATAATGGAAACCATAGTCCTTAAGCTGAGTCTTCATCCTGAGAACTTGTGAACAACAACTAGTAGCAGCAACATACTCTGCTTCTGTTGTAGATGTTAAGACACAATTTTGTATTCTGGAGGTCCAACTTACCAGCTTGTCCCCCAAGAGTTGACAGCTTCCAGACGTACTCTTTCTATCAAGCTTGCAACCTGCATGATCTGCATCTGTATAAGCTATTAGATCAAAGCCAGAGTCCTTTGGATACCAGATACCCAATGAAGGAGTTCCATCGAGGTATCTAAAGATCCTCTTGACTGCAGAGAGATGCGATTCCTTGGGATTTGATTTATATGTTAAACAAAGACATGTGGCAAACATAATATCAGGTCTACTAGCAGTTAGGTACATGAGTGATCCAATCATGACTCTGTAGGTTGTGACATCGATAGATTTTCCTGATGGATCAGCAAATAACTTAACTCCTGTAGCCATAGGAGTTCT